CTTATCTCTGAACTCTGTTAAATCTTTAGCTAGGGTTTAGCCAAACAAATGAGGGCTATCTCTAAACCCTTGGGGCAATACTGTCCAAGTTAGTTGAGATCTGCTATCTGGTTCCTCAAAGGCAAACATATATTGTGATTGGGAGTCTAAGGGTATACAGAAAAAGGCATCCTTTAAATCTAACACAGTAAACCAAGCAGCGGCTGCTGGAATCTCAGATAACAGGGTGTATGGATTAGGAACCATAGGGTGGAGAGGAACAACTGCTTCGTTAATTATTTTCAGGTCCTGAACTAGTCGCATTCCCCACTGGGTTTTTGAATTCCTAAAATGGGTGTGTTACATGGGCTGTTGCAGGGCACTAAAAGTTTCTATCTTTTGAGGTTCTGAATGATCTTTAATAAGCCCTTTTTTGCCTTTGGGCATAGGGGATATTGTCTCTGATGTGGAAAGACTATTTTGATTGGAATTGTACTTTTTGCCCATCCAATTTTGCCTTCAGTAGCCCACACTTCAGGGTTTATATTACATTCTAATAAAGGCAAACATAACGGCCCTCTTGGTCCTAAATTCATTGTAATGGACATCTGAAGTTTTGAAAGTAAATCCCTTCCCAATAAAGGGTTAGGACATTCTGGGACTATCAGAAATGCATGAGAAAACATCACCCCATCCCACTCACAACTCAGTGGGGGAGTAAACTTTCTGGTGATTGGCCGTCCAGACACTCCTTGCACTGTTGTAATATTAGGGGAAAGAGGTCTGGGGTAAGAGGTGAGCACAGAATAACTGGCACCAGTATCAAAGAGGAAGTTGACCTCTCGGCTCCCTATGGAGAAGCATACCCGGGGCTCACATGCAGTGATAGGAGTTAAGGGAGCCAGAGTTGAGCCTGGCCCTGTCAGGCCTGTGTGGAGGAGTCTGGCTTCAAGTACCTATGCCCCTGAGGACAGTCACTCTTCCAGTGATTGCCTTGACATTTTGGGCAGGCCTTTTGAGGTGGTCGCTTGGCTATTGGGCAATGCCATTTGAAATGTCCTTCCTCTCCGCAATGGAAACAAGTCCCTTTTGTGGATTGAGGAGCATTTCATCTTCCTCCTTTTTCACCCTGGGAGCTTACTCCTCTAAGAGCAAATACCAGCACTTCAGTTTTTTTTTTTTCTGTCTCTGAGCTTTTATTTCTTCTTTCCTCTTGATCTCTATTATAAAAAATGGAAGTAGCAAGTTAAAGGATGTTATATAAAGATTGATCAGGGCCATATGCCAATTTTTATAACTTCCTCCGAATGTCTGGGGCTGACTGAGTGATAAATTTGTCCTTTAAAAGTAGGTGGCCCTCTGTGGATTCAGGATCCACGGTGGTGTGTTTTCTCATTGCCTCTCTGAGTTTCTCCATGAAAATAGCAGGGCTTTCCTGGGGTCCCTGAATAATTTCTGAAACCTTAGAATAGTTTATGGGCTTTTGCTTGATTCTCCTGAAGGCATCAAGGACCAACATTTGGAAATGGCTAATTTTCCAAGAATTTTGCTCATCATTTGGGTCCCACTCAGGATCATTTCTGGGAACTGCCTCTGTTCCAGATGGGTAATTGGGTTTGCTCCTAGTCTGTTCTGCTGGGGCAAGAGCAAGGTGTAGGTCATCCCCAAATCCCTCAGCTGCTCTTAGGGCTACTTCCTTCTCATTGAAAGTCAAAGTCTGGTTGAGTAATAGCATAATATCTTTCCAGGTGAGGTCAAACACCTGGCATATGTTTTGAAATACCTCAATATATTTATGTGGGTCCTCCAAAATCTCCCCAAGTCTGTTTTTATCTGCCTTAGGTCTTGAAGGGAGAATGGGGTATGTACTTTGATTGGTCCAAATTCTCCTCCTGGCATCTCCTGGAGAGGTAATATATTTGGTCTGTCTATTGGGGCAGATGCAGAGAGGCCAGGGTATGGAGGACAGGAGGGCTGCTGTTGTGCACCAACAGCAGATGGAGATTTTGTGGGTCCTCCTGATTGTTTTTCCTCAGTAGGTGAGTCCCCAAGATTTTCTCTCTTCATGGCAGATATCATAGCTAAGTCTACTTTACATTGTTGGCATAATTTGGGGTTTTCTCTTAGGGTAAAGAAAACCTGGACATATGACACCTCACACCATTTCCCTTCCTTTTTGCAAAATTTATCAAGCTGTAAAATTGTATTAAAATCGATATTTCCCTCTGGTGGCCAGGTTTCTCCGTCAGGGAGTTTGTATTGAGGCCAGGCCTGGCGGCAGAAGAAAATGAGGCACTTTTTCTTGAGCGTTTGTGGGTCAAATCTATCCCAATTTTTCAATATGCAGGTTAGTGGTACACCTGGCATATTGGAGAGAGAAGCTCCCATCTGAGTGAGAAGAGGAAAAAACAGGACTTGGGTGCCTGCGCTGGAGAAAACTGTTCTCATTAGGGACGTCTCCCTAAGCTTGAGCTTCCTTCTGGTCCAGAAAACCTGTCTCTCACCTTGCTTTGCCAAGGGTGTTTCTGGTCCCCTTTGGCAAAGGGCTAGGGTCTCAGTTTCCCCTGTGCCAGAGACCCTGGGAGGATTCAGACTTAAGGGCCTTACTGCTTTCCTCCCTGCCACTATAAACCCAGAGCAAAAGAGAATTGCGCACTCTTCTTATTGCCTTTTGCTCTGTAGACTAAAGGAACCTCCTGAGGGTAAGGGATATCTACTGGTTGTAAGGTAGCGCTTTCTATTGGAGAGACTACTGGAAGAGTCGATTCTAAAAATGCCTCCCTCTAGCAGCTTAAAGAGAACACAGCACATTCTAAACATTGGAGCAGTAATGGGAAATTTTAAAACAGACTAGTGAAAGTTACCTATGCACATGAGGGAACCTGGGCAGCTTTTACTAATTATCCCATGCCTTTCTCTCAGTCCTACAATCTGAATTGCTAACATTGCTTACCTGCAAGGAAGGGGAGCATCCAGGAGGGAATGGATGCAGGGTTGGGAGTGTTGAGTAGCCCACACGGAGACAAATGTGATTGGGGCTTTCCCTCAGTGCCATTCATCTACCGATCACCCTAGATACCCCTGAGGGCTATCAGGAGGGGGCTCAAGAGAAAGGAACCTTAGGAATACATCTGAGTGTAGCCCAGACTGGAATTCCGCAGTTGTTCCAAACTCCTTCCTCCACCTCCACACATCCGAGGCAGATAGGGATTAGGGACACTGTGTACTCACGCCAATTGCTCTCCAGGCCTAGACAGAAAAGTGAGAAGCGGCTTTGGCAGAACCCAACATGCCTGCTCTGTATTGAACAGGTGATTGAGAGCTGCCTAGGCCGGGAAACCTCTCACCCGAGTCTTGAAGAGTGGTGGCTGCACTTATTGCATTTAAGTAGCCGTTGGGTGCCCACATCACCCTCCAGAAAGAAAGAGAAAGATGTACCTCAGACAGACATGGGGTGCATGGAGAGGGCTTACCTCGGTGTAGAAGAATCTCGCTGGGGCCTCCAATATGTTACCGCTGTTGACCAGTGATGAGTCCTTGCTTCCCCATTGTTGAAGTATAACACCAGAGAAGCACGCGGAGGCAAGGTCAGAGTGGAAAGTAGAGGCTTTATTAAGGACAGCAAAAAAGACTTCTCCCGCAGGAAGAAGGAGACCCAAGAGGTGGAATCCTTGGAAGGGCGATGTCTTCCCCTTTTTGTAGCTAAGGTCTTCTTTCAGCTTTCCCACATTTCTGTCCCTGTTCCTGTCCTTTGTTCTGTTATCTTGCAGTGATAGAATGTAGATGGGGAGACCCAAAAGGTGAGGGGCAGATGGGCCAGAGGAGTAATCTGGGCAGGAAGGGCCTTTTGATTTGCACCTCCCTGTTTGCTGGGAGCTGCTTCATTAACATTTCTTTAGAATGGGCCCTGGGCCTTGGGAACATTAACATTTCAATTTCCCCAAGTGCTGTTCTGCTTTCCTGGGCTCCATTCCTAACATGGCCTTCATTTTTGATTTTACTCAATATTAGATCCGATTCACCTAACTACACTAACTACCTATCTGTAAATCTGGCTTCAGCGAAAGCTGTGCCCTCTGAAACTGGCTACAGCCAAATAAAACTGTTTCCTGTTATCTTCGGTGCCCTACCTCATCTGTCCCCTACAACAGTCTGAATGAGATGTGCCACACACATAAGTTCTCAAGGACTTAGTACAAAAAAATTATAAGTCACCTCACAATAGCTTTCATTTTGATTATGTTTTGCAGTGAGCATATTTTGGTTAAAATATATTAAAATTAGTTTCACCTGTTTTTCTTTTAAAAAATTTTTTTTGTTGTTCATAAACCTTCATTTTATTTGTTTATATGCGGTGCTGAGTATCAAACTCAGTGCCTCACACATGCCAGGCAAGTACTCTACCACTGAGCCACAGCCGCAGCCCCTCACCTGTTTTTCTTTAAAATGCAAAATTTGAAATTATGCTTACATTTGTGATTCAAATTCTCCTCTTTTGGATAGTACTTACTTGAAGTAGAAAAGTTTGATTGGATTTAAAATCCATTTACAGCATCACAAAAAAATATTGTGAATTTAAGGCAAAGTGGCTAGAGTTAAAGAGATTAGTTCCTCAAGAGATTAATTATCCATGGGTTGGGGTTGTGGCTCAGTGGTAGAGCACTCGCCTAGCACATGCGAGGCTCTGGGTTTGATCCTCAGTACCATATAAAAATAATTAAACAAAATAAAGGTATTGTGTCCAACTGCAATTGAAAAGTAAATATTTAAAAGAAAAAAGAGAATGAATTATCTAAAATCTGGTTAATGACAAGAACAAAAATGTGTTGGGAAAATAAGGATAAATAGCTTCTATTTACTTATGCAAACACATTTTCTCATCAGTGGTAATGCTAAAAAAAATTGAAGAAAGTCATCTTTAAAAAGTCAGCCTGATCAGGAACTACTTACAGTTGATCCTCACTATCTGTGAATTCCATGGTTGTGAATTCACTAAAATTTTTTTGTTTGTGATTTTGCAGATACAGTGGCCTGAGGCACAGATAGAGCCGAAGTGCTGTCCAGCTCTGGGAAGCTCCAGGAGCCTGCAGTGTGGCCTAGGAGGTCTGGGCAGGTGAGCCACAGAGGGAGTCAGAGCTGTGCTCCCCCAACCCCGGGGGCTGCAGGGAAGGAGGAGGGAATTCACCCATCTGTCTAGGAGGCTGCTCTGGAAAATGCTGAAATAACATCACTGCATATGGCGAAGCTCTGGAAAGCAATGAAATGTGTAGATTCACGAGATGATGACCGATTTTAAAAAACATCAGTTAAAGGCATCGTTGTGAGGCTGAAAACCAAAGAATCAGAAGCGTGTTAAAGCCTCCTGGGCTGGTGCGGCCAGCCACCGTGTTTCAGGAAGGTGGTCAGGCATGAAAACTGTGAACTTGCAGGCCAGGCAGATTCTGCAAATCAGCAAACTGGAATGATTTTTAAAAACATCTGCTTAGTATTCTGTAGGGTTATGTGGAAGAACAGGTTTTCAATGGTAATGAAATGGCTTGTTTCACGAGGACATTGGCAAATGAACCTTTGTAGCAAGTGGCATTTCAGTTGACATAAATGTGATCAGAGGCTTGTAGGAATCTTACTCTGTATTTCCTCTATGAGCAACAGGCTAATATTCACTAATTCAGTGTTTATAGGGACTTATAAATAGCAACTTGAATAACAAGAATCAACTGTATTTCAAGCATAAAGCCTGATACTAAAAAATCAAGTCCTATAAACCACAAAATTAAAAGTAAAATTTAATAGAAAGCAAGGTCTCATTTAAATCATGGAAAAGATGGGGTCCTGAGGGTCTGCTCAGGAATGTTCATTGAGCATGCTCAAGGCCCTGAGCTCAGATTTCTAACCCTGAAAAAAAAAAGACTCTAGAAGTTTTTATGCAATATCAATATCTAATATTTTACACATTGCTCTCTATTGCTTTCTTATATAATAGAAAATATAGTGGGCTGGGATTGAAGCTCAGTGGTAGAGCACTTGCCTAGCATGTGTGAGGCACTGGGTTACATCCTGAGCACCTCATAAAAATAAATAAATAAAATATAGGTATTGTGTCCATCTACAACTAAAAAATAAAAAAGAGAAAATATAGTAACTTTTTCCAACAAAGCTCAAGGTTGATGATCTCATTTCTTCCACTTCCTTTTTTTAAAATATTTTTTTAGTTGTTGGTGGACCGCTCTCCCTCTCCGGTCCTCCCCCTCTAACCCTCCTCCCTCCTCCACCTTCTCTTCCCTCCTCCCCCTACAGTCTTGGGAAGGTGCAACTCTAAGTGGTGCTGAGAATCAAACCCAGTGCATCACGCATGCTAGGAAAGTGCTCTACCACTGAGCTACAACGCCAGCCCCCTCTTCCACTTCCTGTTAGTTGCTATGTAAACACTAGCTTGTTTGTGGACCATGAGATGAGAACAGTCGGAAAGTACAGCATTAGACTTAATTATGACTTATTTACATGAAGCTCAGTCAGCCAGAAGAATGCTTAAATCATCCTTCAAGAACAGCCAAATAGGGGCTGGGGTTGTGGCTCAGTGGCAAAGTGCTCGCCTAACATGTGCGAGGCCCTGGGTTTGATCCTCAGAACCACATATAAATAAATAAAATAAAGGTATTGTGTCCAACTACAACTAAAAGATAAAAATATTTAAAAAAAAAAAGAACAGCAAATGCCTGTGCGACGGGAGCCGTACAGCCACTGGAAGGACGGAGACAGCTCCCCAGGTGCAGTGGCACACACCTACAATCCTGTGACTCACAAGTTTGAAGCAATGCAGCAAGACCCTGTGTCAAAATTAAAAAAAAAAAAAATCCCAGGGCTGGGGATCTAGCTCTGTTGGGGCATCCCTGAGTTCAATCCCCAGAATGCGACAGCTCCAAGTGCTGCATGGTGAAGGGGAAGAGGCTTGGAGAGGTGTTAATGAGCACAGACCAGCAGGTGGGGTGAATATTCATTTCTTTTTGTAGCTGCCCATAACAAATGATCACAAATGTGGGGACTCATGACAGGTAATCATTGTCTGAAAGTAGGAAGCCCCACACATGTCCCTGGGTCTTTGTGGAGGCTCTGGGAAAGTCAGCCTTGCCACCCCCACTCCTTGTCTGCCCCCATTTTCAAAGCCCCCGCTCTCCCTCTCCTGTCCTCCCCCTCTAACCCTCCTCCCTCCTCCGCCTCCTCTTCCCTCCTCCCACTACAGTCTTGGGAAGGTACAACTCCAAGTTTCTCGTCACTGCAGTGGCCTGACAATCCAGGATAATCTTCCCATCTCAAGATCCTTAACTGTGCCAAGTGCTGTGGCTCAAGTCTGTAATCCCAATGGCTTGGGAGGCTGAGGCAGGAGGATCTCCCAGCCTCAGCAACAGCGAGGCGCTAAGCAACTCAGTGAGACCCTTTCTCTAAATAAAATACAAAATAGGGCTGGGGATGTGGCTCAGTGGTCGAGTGCCCCTGAGTTCAATCCCCGGTACCCACAGCAAAAAAAAAAAAAAAAAAAAAAAGATACTTAACTGTAATTGCATCTGAAAAGCCCCTTTAGCCACATGAAGTCTTCTACTCACAGGTCCCAGGGGTTAGGACGTGGACATGCTGGCAAGGAGACATCATCCTGCTCAGAGCTGCTCCTGTGGTAGAAAACTATGGGGCATAGGAAGGCTAACATTTCACTATATGTACCCTTTATTATTTGGTTTTAAATATATGCAAGACTTAATTTAATTGAATAAACTTTAAAGCTCTTAAATTAATTTAATCAGTGTTGTTTGTCTTCTTGTGTTTTTTCTTTATTTTTGGCGCTAAGGATAGAACTCAGGGCCTCACTCATGCTAAGCCAGGGCTTTACTAATGAACTATGCCCCCAGCCTCGCTTGTATATCTTAAATACTAAGTAATTAAAAAAAAAATCTTCTGAGCCAGTTGCAGTGGTACATTCCTGTAATCCCAGCCACTCAGGAGGCTGAGGCAGGAGCATCACAAGTTCAAGGCCAGCCTCAGCAACTAAGTGAGGCCCTAAGCAACTGAGGGAGACCCTGTCTCAAAATAAAAATAAATAAAAAGGGATGTGTTTCAGTGGTTAAGTGCCCCATGGGTTTAATCCCTGGTTCAAAAAATCCCAAACTTCTGGATTACAGCCTCTAAGGTCCACCACAATGGCCACCAGATGGCGCCCTTTTGACACGCTGGCGTGTCCTGGTCACAGGGCTTGCTTGCACCTTGGCTGCTGTGTTCCTCATCAGGAACCCAACAGGGATGAGGCGTGAGAGGCACACTCCAGAGCCCAGGGCAGCTGCACTCAGTGGTTTCTTTGCGCTGCCATTGCATTTGGAACCTGCTTCCCCCTCTGTTAACTGTCAACTCCTGGCCTCACCCTCGGACTGAGAATCCACATGAACAGCACACCTGGTAAGCACCGGACACATGCTGCAGTTGGTGTCCACATCCAGCCCCCTGGTTAGTGAATTTCCTAGCTCTTCTTGTGGACTATTAAAGGGCAACCCCACCCAGCCCTGGAGACCCTTTCCCACCACTCTCCCAACTTCCTCCCAATCTATAGGTCAGATGCCACCTTCCTTTGCCTCGTCCTGTCTCCACAACTTACCCTTCTTTGATGGAGTCTGCTCTCCTCTTCGGGCCTTCACTCTCTACATGGAATCAGTCTTACAGAAGGGGGGAGATGCTAAGAGCCACAGCCAAATAATATGATGCATGGCATTTTTGGTTGAAAGGTGACGCCAGCAAGCCATTGAGATGATATGATTATGTTAAGATCTGCATTTATATGGATATTGGACTCCTGCTGTCCACCTCGGCCTGCTACAGGACTCCTGGAGAGTTCCCATTGGTTGGGGAAGTGCGGTAGGAGGGAATTCCGGGGGAGGGACTTCCTGTTGGGGTCCGGGAGAACGCCGCGTGGGTCGGTCGGCAATCTTCCCGGGAGCATATGGGGCATTGGCGGCAGTTTCAAAAATAAAGTTTGTTCCTGCTTGAGTGGCTTGTGATTTTGTGCCCAGCCAGACTGCGGCATTGTCAAATTTGTGGAGGCTAGGCACTGAACCTGGGTGGGGGGAGGTGACAAAAAGGCTTTGTTTTGTTTTTCCTTCTCCAATACTGACTTGCTTTGGGGAATGGAACCTGGGTAGGGGTGATAAGAGCAGAGTTTAGAAAAGCATTGAGGCTGCTCTTGTACATGGGAGCTATCCCAGGTCAAGCCTGGGCCAGCCATCTGTCCTGTAGCAGCATGAGATACCCCGGGTAGAGACACAGTAAATTTAGGCTGAGTTGTTACACAGCCGTAGCTCATTTATAGAGTCGCTTTTACCTTTTTGTCCTCTACAGGTACAGGGAAGCAGTTCCAAATGAATTTTAAGAGGCTAGTCTGCTTTTCCTTACTGATTTCTGAAACGTTTTTATACTATCAAGGACATTAAGTCCTGTGCATGAGGCTATGAATGTTTTCCCCAGGGTTTTGTTTGTACTTTCACTTGTTTGTAAGCCTTCTTTGGTGACTAGAACACACACACACACACACTCAAAACCACTCTTTGGCTTTGTGGATTCTTGTTGGCACTTCCCATTCTGCAGTTCTGATATTCGAATATCCTTTTGCTACCTTGTAACTAAACCCAGTGGGTTGGCCCCCTGGTGACAGCGAAGTCAGTAAACAACCAGGAGATGAGTCAAGAAAGGTTTATTACTTGCATCAAGAATGGAGCTGCACTGGAGATACTCTCAACAAGGTCTCCCCAAGGAAGAAAACCAGGGGCTTCCCCAAGGGTGATTTACCAGTGAGCTAGGCTCTCCTCCTCCTCCTCCTCCTCCTCCTCCTCCTCCTCCTCTTCCTCCTCCTCCTCCTCCTCATTACTGGGGAACTGGGGATTAAACCCAGAGCTGCTTTACCACTGAGTTACATTTCTAACCCTTTTGGTTTTTTTCAAGGGCCTTTCTAAGTTGCTGAGGCTGGCTTTGAACTTGGGAACCCCCTGCTTTAGCCTCCCGAGTCTCCAGGATTAGGGTCCTGTACCTGGAGCCCCACTGCAAGGGTCTTTTCTGGAGGAAATTTATACATATTCATTTAGGAAAGTCTCCTCTGGTCAAGGTGGCCATATTCCTGAGCACGCTCAGTTCAAGGTTACACATTTCAAGTTTAAGATAAATAGCAGAAGGAATGCTCTGGGTGGAGAATTGAATGTTGTGTAAAGTTTACTCCAGGTCACCTGAAAAGGGCAAGTCAGAGTGACTAGGTGAATTGGGGCTGGATCCGTGGAAGATTTTCTATAAGGAAATAAAGACAAACAGAACCACTCCACTTTGTCAAGTCATTCAAAAGTGCAGCAGCTGTCCCCTCCCTGCAGCAAGCACAAGTGGTTGTGCCTGAAAGCACCAGAGCAACAGCTAACAACCTGGTGATATTCCTTTCTCTTATGGGCTCATTCCCATCCCACGTTCTTTCTTTTTACCTGGGATCTCAAATTCTTCAAGGTCAGATGATTCCCCACAGGCAGGCTCGGAGTCCACTGAAGGAATACAAGTGAGGGCCACGAGGGCTGGGGAGAAGGACAGAAGTGGGTGCTTTGGGCTGGAAGAGAGTTCTCTGATTAACGGTTCATTTTTTAGCATCATTAGTATGGAGATTTAAGAACAGTCTATTATTTTTGCTAGCTCGCTGCCTACACCACACCACTTTCTTGAGAATTACATATCAAATGGACTGGGGACTGGGCAGTCAGGACAGCTGGACACTCCCTTCCTGCCTCCCTCACAACTGTAGGAAGTGAAGGCCACATTTTTAGACTTTCACCCTCTTATCAGTTTTTGACTTGAGACCTTCTCTAGGGGTTGTCTACTTACTTTGGTGCAACCCTTGTACTGAGATCTTTTAATCAAAGAAAATGCTCTTCTAGCTGAGCTGGCTCACAAGTGGCAAGGTCTCTGATTAGGGATTTTTTGAGCAGCACCGTTGTGGTGGTTGGGGTCAGTCTGTGCCATCTCTCCCACACTGTCCCCTTCTGCCACCTTGCCTTCAGCAGTTATTAACACATCCACAGTCTTGTTGTAAGTACCTCCCTTGACTCCCTCATGCGCACCCCACAGATTGGTTTTAAAATCAAAGCCACCTTCATTTCTCCATATTTGCCATGAACTCCTAAAACACAAGGACTCTTCTTTAAACTACATGATCAGGATGAAACAGGGGCAAGGGACAGAGAGCTGATTACCAGAGAAAAGAAGACAAGGAGATAGGACTCCCCATTAACCATTGCTAACACTTCAAGATCACACTTTCCAACACAAGCAGTTACCCCCTGGATGGCTCTTTCCCTGCCTTTTGGTCTGTAGGCACGAGAAAAAAGGAAACTTCAAATCTATAAAGGAGTAAGACATCCCCACTCCCGGAGGCACCAGCTCTGGGTCCCAGCTCCTTTCCTGAGGAGCCCCACCCCACCGCCTCTCTGTCTCTGTTCTATCCCTTAAATAAAACTTGTTTTCTTGCCTGGGTGTTTGTTGGGTGTTTAATTTTTAACACCGGGGGAAACAATGACCCAATTCTGATTTTCAAGGTGAGTATCAGATGGGGGCTCATCCAGGATCATCACCAAGCTAAGTTTCCTCCACACCCCACATCTTTCTGGGGTGCACCCTTCTGTGTTTCTTTCTGGGGGACAATAATGGGCACCCATTGGCTAATTAAACGTGGTTAGTGCAAGCTGCCATTCTTCAAGACTCAGGTGAGGGGATTCACCTAGGTGGCTCCTCTTCACCTATCCTGCAGATCAGGCATGTTGGGTTCTGCCAAAGCTCTTCCTCACTGTCCTACCCAGGCTCGGATGGCATAGCATCTGTGTCCCTAGACAGTGTCCCTAAACCCAGTTTGCCTTTGCATGCCCTGATAGATGAACAGAGGGGTGACACAATGCGAGATTCTGGCGGGGGAGGGGGCTACTCCCTGGTGAATCTCAAAGGTTTCTCTGCTGACCTCCTTTCCCGACAGCCCTCATAGGGCAACTTAGGGGGACTGATCAATCAAGCAGTGCTGAGTGAATCCCCCAGGGACAGGCACCTCCAGATGAGCTGATCTGCACTCTCCTGTGCTCCCTCTTCCCGAACACCCCCTCCCCTCGCAGATCAGACTCCAGTTGAGAGGGGGACGTTTTACAGGGATTGGTTTAGGAAATGCCTGGGTTCCCTTTGTTCACATAGGAAGCCCTTACAAGGATGTAGGGAATGTCCCCACTGTTCTTGCTGTATCTGGAGGTGCTTTCAATTCCTCTTCTATAAACTCCTCCTCCAGGAAAAGGGCCTTAAGCATTCAACAACCACTACGTGTCCTCATCACCCTCTGGAGATTCCTTTGGCCACAGCGAGTGCAGACTCTCTATCCCAGCCTTTACCCCTAGGGTTCTGCTGCTGCCAAACATGGTCTCAATACAAACTCTCCAACAGAGAGTCACGGCCATCAGGGGAAATACAAATTTCAATACCATCCCACAGCTCAGCCTGTTCTATAAAGAGGAAGGAAATAATCTGAGGTTCCTATGTGCAGGCCAAAGGATTTCTCAGTTCTTGTTTAAAAAAACCCAAATGGCACTAAAAGTATAAATTATATTCAGCTATGATCCTCCATTCTAGTGAGGCCCAAGTCTGCTCCTCCAAAGTTCATTAACTAATGGTAGACTCCACACAGATAGATCAGGATTCATTACAAGACTTGTAATGATTAACTCCCAGGGTTACAAGTCACATGGGGAGGATGGATAATCCAGAGGCTTACATATTTTCATGGCCACCTATGAAGAAGCATAGGGGTTGTGACCACACTGGTAAGGCAGCAATTAAAACCAGAGGTCATGCATAGAAGGAGGGGTGGAAACTGCTGGCTACAGGCCCCAACATCAGTGTGGACACAGTATTTTTCTTTTGTTTGTTTATTTTTATGTGGTATTGAGGTGGAACCCAGTGTCTCACACATGCTAGGAGAGTGCTCTACCACTGAGCTACAACCCAAGCCCTTAGCCAACTCTTAACAATAGATAGGAATAAGGTCAATTTGACCAGCTTGGTCTTAAACACCTGGCAAGAAAGTTATAACCAAAGCACAGCCATACCTGAGCATTTAAAAGGAAGGATAATAATTATTTTAATTTAACTTAAGATGTATACTGTATCAGTCCCACCAAGAGTGAGACTGGAGACTATCTATATAAGAAGGGTTGTTAGATAGGATTGCCTAATGACTATCAAAAGAGACTATCAGAGTCAGAAGCTTTTTTAGTCAATTTAAGACCTACAAATCTTCCTAACCTCCTACATAGGCAGACTTGATCTGTGTTTGCTAATATGATTATCTAGCCCTAAGTGACAGAAATAAAGGGATCTCTGTGACATTATAAAAATTGCGTTTTGTGTTTATATTCTTGACAATTCTGAAAATGTAACTAATAGTCTTAAAGATTCACATTCCCAGATAGAGGCTATGTCCTCACTGGCTCGTCGTGGGAACAACTTCTTAGTTCTTGGTTCTCTGGTACCTCCTGGTGGACAAATTCCAGTCTTCATTATCATCATCATACTAATTGGCATGTTTGCATGCTACAGTATTTATTGCTGTATTAATCTATTTCCAGTACTCATGTCTTCTTGTTTCTCTCATAGAAGCATCCATGTCCAGATGACTTTACAACCCGTTCTTTCCAAACCAGACTTTTACCATGGACCCCTTAAAGACCTGAAATATTTCTAAAAGGGAAACCAAACTGCTTGTCTCATGCTGCCTCCTCTCAGCCTGAAGTAGCTAGAGCAGTCATCACCCATTTCCCCTTGTAGGGGTAAGGGTTCCCTTAATCAGAGGGGGAAATTAGCCAAGAGCAAAAGACAGATACTCAGGGTAGATAATAAAAGATCAGGTCAGAAAGATGGGGGGCTAATTATCAAAGAAAAGGAAATGGAATGCTAACACCTCCAGAACACCCCCTCTACCCCAAGGATATTTC